TTAATTTAATTTTAATTTAATTTAATTTAATTTAATTTAACAAATTTTATTTGGATCGATATTCACAATTTTTAACAAACAAAAGAATATAACAGAACAAATATTACATTAAGTTAAAATAACCTAGATATCAAATGTAGATCCAAAAAGGTAAGGTACGAACGGGACTCTTATAAAAGGTCCCATGCAGGGCACCCACCTCCAAAATAGTAATCGTGATAACAAATAGAACATCGCGAACTCAAACTCGCTAAAGGATTCAGGCAAGCAAAAAATTAAGTGGAATAGTTAAACTCGAAATTCAAAATAGTCACCGCTTCAGAGAGTTTGAGTAAACGTGACTCTATTTCCTGAAACTGAACATGTCAAGTAAACTAAGAGACAGATTGAACATGCATGTAAAGGTAAAGGCCAGCTTCCACACAGGAAGATCCTCCACTGAACAGAAACGGCGGGAGAGCTTTCATTGTGTTAAATTCACAACGTCCACGTCATTCGTGTTGATTAAATTCATTTAGTTCGAAACCAGAGGTTCCAAACGAAATCTCGCAAAACAAACTGAAAACTTTCCCGTCCACCCCGATCCTGAAGACCCTCCCGAATGGAGACTAGCCTTTACATGATAGACAGAAACATATTACAGACAGAGACAGACAAATATACAAACACGACAAACTGACTTAACTATTTCCTGTGGCAAGGACAGTCCCGTACCAGTGACCACGTACAAGATATATAACTCAACATCATAGACTGACTTAACAAGTTCGGTATATTTACGTTTAAGATAGTTTTTAAAGGAGATCGGACTGGAGAATGTATCTGGATGAACGTCTTTACATATACAGTTCCATGGTTTAACTATCCGGTTAAGGTATGACGATTGAAAGGTCGTTGTTCTACACAAGGGTGTTTGAAGCACAACACTAGCAGCTTGACTGAGTCTAGTGCGTCTATGTTCAATGAATGAAACATAACTGTCCATTTTAAGGTCGATGTGGCCATACAGCATCTTGTAGAAGAACACGAGATCTTTGATTTCTTTGTCGTATGTGAAAGGCACTAGTTTCAATGTCATTAATCGTTGTTCGTAAGGTATTTTACCAGTTTTTATTCTTAATATCCATTTTGTCGTTCTTCTTTGAACTCTTTCAATTATTCTGTTGAGTTGACTGTGATGATTTGAAGACCAAACTTGTGTTGCATAGGAGAGTTGTGATTTAACTAGTGTCAGGTACAATGAACGTCTGATGTTGACGTTTGTTAATGATAAGCATGTTCGTTTTAGCACACCAAGTTGTTTATTAACTTTCGACACGATCTCATTAACGTGAGTCTCCCAGTGAAGTTTGTAGGAGATGGTTACTCCAAGATCTTTCTCGTTTTCAACTCTCGACAAATCATTTCAACCGAGGTGGCAGGGACAGGTAATTGGATCTTTCTTACGTGTCACCGGCAGTATCTTACATTTAGAAGCGTTAAATGTTATGTTGTTGTCTTGAGTCCAAATATCTAACTTATCTAAGGTCTGCTGAAGCTTTTCACAGTCCGTTACCGATCTTACGTCCTTGTTAACCTTAGTGTCGTCTGCAAACAGCGCTGGAGATGTTCCATCAGTCACTTCAGGAATATCGTTGATAAAGATTACAAAGTGCACAGGTCCCAGGATACTCCCTTGCGGCACTCCAGATGTAACGGGGGCCCAACGTGACGCGACACCATCCGCAACGACTCTCTGACGACGATTGTTAAGGTAATCAGCAAACCAACCTAGAAGGTTTCCAGTCACTCCATAACATTTGAGTTTTTGAAGAAGAATAGAATGGTCAACAGAATCAAACGCTTTCGCGAAGTCAAGGTAAACAATATCAGTCTGTGTGTTCTTGTCCAGATTTTTTCCAATGGTGTGGAGTACTGATAGAAGTTGTGTTACGTAGGAGTGATTTCTTAGAAATCCGTGTTGATATGGAGTGATGAGATGTAAAATATGATAATAAAAGTTAGTGTAGACGCACCGTTCTAAAACTTTGCTCACTATGGGGAGCAGGGAAATAGGACGATAATTTTCTGCGAGTTCTTTTTGTTGTTTCTTGTGTATCGGAGTAACGTTTGCCGATTTCCACTCTGAAGGGAGTCGACCAGATTGCAGTGAGTGGTTGAAGATATCGCATAGACTTGGCGCTATTTGTCCAGCGCATTCCTTTAGAAGCCGGGATGGTATACCATCGGGACCGCTTGCCTTCGACGTATCTAAACTTTTCAAACAATCGGTAACTTCGTCTACACTGATTACTATGTCCGAAAGTTGCAGTTCAGTTCTTAATGGAGGTAAACGGGTGACAGCCTCTAGGTTGGTACTTGATCGAGGAGATGTAAACACAGAGAAGTACGTATTGAAAAGTTCTGCTTTATGGGCTGCGGTCTTTGCCGTTTCGCCGTTATAAACTATTTCAGGTCGATTGCTTACCCGATGACGACGCACTGACTTGTGGTATCTCCAAAACAGTTTTGGATTTTCAGCAAACGAATCTTTAACTTTTTCAAGATAATCACGATGTTTTTGTCTGACTAGGTATTAGACAGATTGAGATAGAGTTCGCAGTTTTTGTTTTCTAGCATTTGTTCGTGACTGTCGAAATCTTTTTAACGCAGCATACTTCTTCGATCCGCAACAAATGTCTTACCTCTCCGTCGATCCAGGGTGGCGAGTTTGTGTCTGTCACAACTTTCATAGGAATACAATTTTTCACATGCGTGAGAAACCATTCTTTCCAACAATTCCAATGATGATCAATATTTTCTGATGGCATATCTTCGAAAGTTGTATTACTCAAAGCATTCCGTAGCTGTTCGAAATTTCCACGCTCGTAATCAAAGATTGTCCGTTTAATTGGTTGAGACCGAGAAAAATTCTGCTGAATTGCGAACTCTAAGATATGATGATCAGTTGGATAACCGTATTGTTCAGGAGAAGTTGTAATTACATTCCTATAATAATTTCAGGGTAGTTGCAGAGCAGTAGATCAAGTTTATTACCATCACGATGGGTAGGACCGGATATTAATTGTTCAAGGTAATAATCACCAACTAACTCACAGAACTTGTCTTCCAAATGACCTCCGGCGCTAGTTGGGCTTGGATGATCCAGAGACCAGTCGATCGCAGGAAGGTTGAAATCCCCAGTAAGAAGAACGCAGGCGGACTCAAGATTGTCATCAAGTGAGGAATTTAGTTGTTGTATGGAATCCAACGAAGAATTCGGAGGACGATAGAAAGTGTAAAGTAAGATTGATTTCATATTCTCTTGGAAAAGTTCTACTACGACAAATTCAACATTATTTCTTTTTTTTTCTTTTGTGCGAATAGTGTCTTTTACCGCAACTAGAACGCCTCCTCCCGTTCTTCCCAGTCTATCTCGACGAAAGATGGAATAACCTGCTAACAGTTCACTGTCAAGGACCGAGTCGTTGAGCCAGGTTTCGCAAACACAAACCACATCATAGTCACCGCTATAGACTAATTGTTGAAATACGCCTATTTTGCAGACTTTTGAGGGTTTGTCATCCATTTCAACAAAATTGCTTTAAGACTTCTTGAGTTCAGATATAAACACTCGATAGAAGAACGAGGACCAGGATTTGTCGCCACATCCCCAGCCAGTAGAATACATAAAATAACATGAAGAAACTTACGTTTGGTTTGTAGTTCAAGTCCATAGCGATGATTGCGAGGATAGTTTAGTTTTCTTTGCCTTGAATCCCGAGTAGTGGTCCAAATACAACACATATTCTCCGGTAAAGAAGCAAGATTAGAGTTTATAATAATCCCATTTAAACAGGTTTCTTGATGAACATGACCAGATTTTAATTTTAAATACAGCCAGAGAATTGTCACGATCAGCATAAAACATTTCATTCCGTTTGTTATAATGTCAAAAATCCCGTTATTTTGAATAGATTTCCAGGCGAATTCCGTACGATTACTTCCATTAAATAGCGATGCACGCGCGCATCGTTTTAAATTGCCCGCTGTTGTCAGCATATTGATGGCGAAAGTTCACGATCACGCGTAACCGACTGAACCAACGTCTTTTACTGCAATCACAGATCAAAATCGATAAAACAAACAACAAATAGCACAAACAAATCAACTTCAAAACAAACAACACGATACTAATCTTTAAATTCCTGCGTACGAAACTGTTACGAAGCGCAATAGAGAATACTTTCTTGAAAAACCCTTTTAATTTCGTTAAAAATTCCGCTAAATAGCGGAGCACTTTCGTGCGCGACCACTCGTGGTCACGTCACGTCACGTCGTGACGTGAACGGTTACCAGGTGTCGAAAACGGTCTTCCACAGACCTCGCAAAAATAAGACATGTTTACAAGTTCACAATCAAATGTAAAATGAGTTAGAAGTTTGTGTACCGTTACATAAATAGTATTATATGATCAAACCCACATAAATAATCCTATGATATTGATATCTTAAGATACTTTATGATATTCTAAGATATCAAGAATATTAATAACTTACTGACCGAGAGTGAGGGCACTACGGGAAAATATCCAACCGAGGTCTTGCTGTATTGACCGAGCGATAGCGAGGTCAATACAGCAAGATCGAGGTTGGATATTTTCCCGTACTGCCCGAACGGTTGAGGTCAGTAAGCTTTTTATTATATGGCATTGTACGTTTGTAAAAAATGGAAGAAAAGGTCACGCGAGGGCAAAGTACAAAGTCCGAAACAGTTTGCAAAAAAAACAATTGTAAAAAATGTTCTTTGGTTAGTAAAACTGCTCTACAGTACTTTTTATATAGAATACTATCACAGTTTGGATAGTATTTCAAGACAAATACGAGGTATTTCGTCATTTAATCAAAGACAACAAAGATGAAAACAATAAAATTCAATAAAATTACAAAAACAAGTACTTTTTAGCACTTTTTAGTTCGCTTCATCTCATAGTTATGTCTCTTTTTATCTAACAAAAACAGAAATTTTCAAGGGAAAATTATAAATCTGTGGCTATTTTAGTTGTATTTTTTATTTAGGATGATGTCAAATTCCTCCTGGCTATCTGCAAATAAAATTTGCAGCTCTTCGCATTGTCAAAACACAACTATTCCTGACTGCTTTTATAGTTATAAACATTGTAAAATTTACCTTGTAATTTTGACTTTCGCTAACAAAAACGTATGGAGAAAGTTCTTTAACCATCACAGCATTGACATCAATGCTTATTAACAGTTATAACTTTCATACGTCCATAGATCATACCTATATTCCGAATGCTTTGTATAGGATCGTCCATATGATTACTCTGGTCTATATTCTTGTTTTAATCCATATCTCGGATTTCTCACGTAGACTGATATGTTTTCAGACTTTGTTTTGTACTATTCCATTGCTTAATACCCTATTACCTTGGTCACTTTGCCTACATTGCTAGTATCAATGCTTATTAC